TACAAGTCCAGCACTTCCCGTGAAACCCTCACCACTATAGAAATATGATGCCCAGAACCTCCCTGCTCCATCTCCCACAGCACTTTCTACGTTTATTGCTTGTTCTTCTTAGTGCTGTTAAGGGGATTCCAACTCACAACCACTCTGAGAGAACTAAATGCTGCCTGGTCCTGCGCCATTCTCACAATTGTTATATTTGAGTTCACTGTTTCAACCACCATGTGGCTTCATCTTGTCGAGGATCCTCCTCTTCTTTATGCCTCTCTACCAAGCATGACATCCTTTTATTGATGGGTTCTATAGTTCGTTGTAATGACCACACAAAACTCTCAGACAGGGCTCAGGATTATAGGGTTTATTATGGAAGTGGACAGGTTACAAATTCCAGTGGAAATGCTCCTGATACCGTTGTTCAGTTAAGACATGTTACCAAAAAATCTTTTAGGGCTATTAATAAATGCCCATAGGGTGTGCATTCAGCTCTAAGCCTCAATCCAAAGGTTATCAGGCTTCAGCAAACCCAGCTCACTGAATTAAGTGCCCAGAGGCACCCCATCCCACCAGCCAGCCAGTTGCTCCAAAGTACTTAGTTTCCCCAGCTCCGTGGGCTGGGAAGCCCACGGTGATGTCTCAGGCTCTGGCTCCTGGTTCTCTTGCTGCTGCTGCTCCTCTGTCGTTCCTCTGGTGTTGGAGCTGTCTCCTGGATCTAGGAGGTTCTCTGCACAGGGATCTCAGAGTCCAGAAGATGCATCCTACTCTCTTGCTGGTCACGAGCCCCCACTTCCAGCTTCTGTGATGGTCCACTTCATACCCAGCAAGATGGTAATCACTCATAGGTGAATCGTTTAATACATTCAGTGTCTTCCCCCCACTTTCTTACCCAGACCAATCAGGAAAAGCTTATTTGGTGGTAGTGACAAAGGTGAGGATTAGAAGAACCGTATGAAGTAATTCACTGCTCTGTACTACCCCAGCTCCTAAAAATGGTTGCTATCTACTCACTCCAGCTTGTGACAACCAGTGTTTTAGAGTAAAGCTGTGCTAAGCACCTCTGGGGGAGAAAGATACAATTATATGGCAGTGAGATGCCAAGTAAGTCCACGTGGAAGAAACACATTAGCCTTGTGATCAAAGATCATAAATAATGTACTCAAAATCCAAAGGAGGAAATGGTATCAGAATTTAAGTAGTGAACACTCAGTTTGCAGAAGGCTATGGATGACAGTGGAAGCCCAAAATCCCTTCTAAGGGTTCCCACAAGCATTAAGCTTCCAGTGAACCCTCTCCGATCTTAGCCTTGTTAACAGATAGAGGGCATTGTACAGTCAATTATGGTTAATGTAGCTAGCTTAAAATGTAACATTTTACCAGTTTATCTCCATTTGTTTCACATTGTAAAAAAAGGCAAAGGGGAAATACACACAGATTAAGCCTCTGATGTATTCCTTGTGACCATAGAGAGATCACGGGTGTGAATAGCCTTGCTATCATGCAGAGTGCATTGAAAAGTGGATTTTTGCAGATGTGATTAGGTTAAAATGTAACACATTATTTTTTTAGTAGTATTTTATTTTATTTTAAATCAGTTTATTGGGGCTCATAAAATTCATCACAATACATAGATCAATTGTGTAGAGCACATCTATACATTTGTTGCCCTCATCATTCCCAAAATTCGCTTGCCTCTTGGGTTCCCGGAATCAGCTCATTTTCCGTTTTTAAATGTAACACATTATTATTTGATCTCCCTGTTGACCCATAATTAAGTTTGTTCAAGTTTTTAATATGTTCTGCTTTCTTTCTATTTAGATTTTTCTCTGTTTTGCCTTATTATTGTTGGTGTTTTGTATTCTTAGTATGTTTTCTGTATAAGAAATCCAGGCTGGGTAAATCTATAGAGACAATAACCGGATTAATATTTTATTGGGGTGTGGCAGGGAAGGTGGAGGGGAAATGGAGAGCAAATAATGAGTGGAAGAAAGAAGAAAATATTCTAAAATTCATTATGGTGATGATCGCACAACTCTTTTTAATACGATTGAACTATTGAACTGAATGATACATGAATTATATGTCAATAAAACTATCAAAGTTTTTTTACAAATTACATGGCCTACAAACGAAAACAACAGTACCTTTCACATCAGTGGTTCTCCACCTTCCTCATGCAGCGACCCTTTAATACAGTTCCTCATGTGGTGGTGACCCCCCAACCATAAAAGTATTTTTTTTTTCATAAAATTATTTTAATTGCTACTTCATCACTGTAATTTAGCTACTGTTATGAAAGGGTCGTTTGACCCCGAAAAGGGTCACAACCCATAGGCTGAGAACCGTTGTCTTAGATTCAGAGAAAATAAATGAAATTAACTGAGGGTACTAGTCACACATGTGATTCAAATACTATGAACGTGAATTGAGAGCCCACTGTAGCAACTGGAACCAGATGGTGGTGGTCAGTGGCCAATCATCATAGAGAATTCCCCATCATCCATTGCAATCATATCCTCTAAGATCAGTGTTGTAGATCCTAACATGTACACCTGTGGCTGTAATCCTGTTTAGGAATGGGTTGTCTTAGGTCATGTGGTACAGCGAGTGTAGATCT